AGCGCCTGTGGGCAACAAAGCGAGACTCTGCTCAAAAAAAAAAGATAATCTTAACATGAACTAAAATTCATGATTCCTTTTTTGATTCCTGGAGTATAATTAAGATTCAGTGTAAAATACACTAAATAATTTAATTCTATTACTATTTTTTGCTGTTGTACAATTTAAGTTCTTATGTTAGAAAGAAAGCAATTTCATCATAGCTGTTTCACAGAAAGCAGGTTTCTCAAGACTCTCCAGATCAAGGATACTATCATTCTCAGCATACCACTAGACCAAGTAATACAAACAAGTTCCTCTGCACCTGTTTAAGTATGCAAATTTTAACATGATAGGCAAGTTGCATATTGGCAAAACTTTTTCTGTAAAAGACCAGATATTAAGTATTTTAGAAATTGCAGGTCATAGATACTGCTGCAACTTCTTAACTCTGCTATTATAGTACGAAAGGAGCCAGACAATACATAAACAAATGAGCATGACGTGTTCCACTAAAACTTTATTTTCAAAAACAAGTGGCAGGCCAGATTTGGCTAGTGGGGAATAGTTTGTGACCCCTGTGCTAATGGTTATTTAGCTCCTGGCAAGGGACTAAAAAGATAAACATGATTTAGAATACACACTGGTAACAAAATCATCATGTTGAGAATACACATTGTATATATAAAGCACAGTACTTACAGGTGTTTGGATCATCATGGCTCGTTGATCTCTCATTGTCCTTACAATGTCTAGTGGATAAACTGGCTGATTGCATTCAATGAGACACATGGCTGTTTCCATAGTAATAAGAACCCCAGTTCTTCCAATTCCAGCACTAAAAAGACAAATATGGGCAGTGTCTTATTGATATTATTCTGTTAAACTACTTGTAGCTTTTGTGTAGAAAATGAAGTCATAATACAGAAAGAACAATTTCATTTGAATGTTTTCTATTCCAAAAGTAGTACGCAGAATATCTTGAAAACAACAAAAAGTGCTCTCAATTGACTCATTTATATAGATTATAGTTTATATTCCCCTCCCACCACTGTTAGTTGGAAAATACTATTTTAAAAGAGTTACATTTCAGTTTTAAAGTGTGAACAAAGTATAGAAGTTTATTAGATCAACCTTCCTTAAAATGCAGAATAAAAGAATAAAATAATAAATTAACAAATATGCAATAGATAACAGTATTTTATACACTTATATAAGTCAGGTTTTAAACAAAATTTAAACTTAACCATGTGGATAATCAAAAAAACTCTTTGAAGTTTAATCTGTAAACATGAAATGTAGCAGCTATTGAGGACTCGGATGTGAAATGGCCTAATATGTTTGCCATGCTTGCTACTTGCTCTCAAATATTTGGTCTACACTCTGTTTTGATGATTTGAAAGCCTACTCTCCGTTGGAAGTTTGAGGATAAAGAGGTATCTCGATATATCCTTTGAAGAAATCACTTATCCTCTGAATAAATCCCTTAACAAAAGTGGTAAAACAGAGGAAATAAATTACTTTTCCTAATCTCTGGTCAGTGGCAGTGAAGGTTGTAGTTACTGTATTGGCACTTTGAGGGCAGAAGCAGACCTGGATCTGAAAGGAAGGTAGCCTGCCACTGTTGAACTAGAGTCTTGGAAGTAGCATATCTGTAATAACACTTAGTGAGACCATTCCAAGAGAAAGTGTACAATGAATGTCCTAAGAGGCCCAGCCAAGGAAGAGTACCTTGATGGAGAGAGGAATCTAAACTTTGGTGCAACCTAATGCTAGCGCATAGCTATGAAGTGAATGTATTCCCAAAATGCATATGTTGAATTTGAATCTTGGACTCCTAGCTCTAAACGTGTGAAAAATAAATTTCTTTTCTTATAAATTACCTATCTCAAATATTTATGGCAGCAGGCTATTGGACTGTAGACTAAGACAGCCTATAATATTGTATTTCACAAATCTAAATTACCATAAAATGTGAGACAAATTCAAAGACATCAAATATGAAAAAAATATCTTCTAAGATTCAGTGCAATTGGTATTATTTTTACCTCATGATAAATTACTTGCAATCCAGGTTGACAACGCGACAGGGTCTCACTCTGTTGCCTGGGCTACAGTGCAGTGGCATTACCATAGCTTACAGAAACTTCAAACTCCTGGACTCAAATGATCTGCCTTAGCCTCCCAAGTAGCTGGGACTCAATGCCTGTCTAATTTTTTTATGTAGAGATGGGGTCTCGCTCTTGCTCAGGCTGGTCTCAAATTCCTGAGTTCAAGCTATCCTCCCACCTCGGCCTCCCAAAGCGCTAGGATTACAGGCATAAGCCACCATGCCTGGCCTCTCTTTCAGAGATATGATATACACAACACACAAATACACATGCAAAACTATTTTCCCATTTTTCATAAAACTATTTTAAAAAAGTGGTAGCCTACTATCATGTTGTTATGCATCTTATTTCTTTTTTTTACTTTATCTTTGAGATGTCAGATTAGTATATAAAATTTTATTCTTTTTAAAAACTGACAGCTCTACTGTATGAATACAACAAAATATTTAACACACATGTAAGTCTAATCTACTTGCTACTAGCAACAAAGCTAAACTGAATACTTTTGTACAAATGTAGAACTATATCTGTATGGGCAATAGAAAGAAATGAAAATGCTGGATCAAAGTATAGTGCACTTAAAATTTTGACAGATGATAGTGCCAAACTGCTCTCCAAAGAGATTCTACCAATTTACACTTCCACCCATAATGTATGAATAGTGCTTATTCGCCCATATACTCTCATTAATAGACCCATAATCCCTTATCCACAGTTCTGAAACTTAGTCTCAAGCTCTGAAATTCAAGGTTTTATTCTGTTTTTTTTTTTTTTTTTTTTTTTTTTTTTTTGA